TTGATCGTAATCAAGGAAAAGTCTGTAAAATAAGAGTTTTTCTGTAAACATTTTAATGAAAATATCTGTAGATTTATTATTTTTTGCACTTTATTTCAACAAAGAAATTTTACCATAATTTTATGGTTTTTGTTTGGCAGCTGTAGCTGCCAGTCATTTGACTTTTTTTTACGATTTTTAAATTTTTTTTTACAGAGCATGTAATTACAATTTATTACTTTAATTTTACGTAATTTTAAATGTACTTAATAGAAAACAGGTAAAAACACTGTGTAAATAATATGGCAATTTTATTGTTTAAAACAGACAAATTGCTGTAATTTCTCATTACTTATATAATACATAAAATAACAATCAAGCTGTTAATTTACAGATATTGTTTGTAATTTTTACAGACTTTTGAATATAATTTAGAATAACAGAAAAAATACTGTATAAATAATACTGTAATGTCCCTGTACAAAAAACAATAAATGTCAGTAATTTGTCTTTAATGATAAAGTACCTAAAATGAAAGTCAAACTGTGAATTAGAGAGATTGCTTGTCATTTTACTAAGTTCTACATATAATTTTAAATGACAAAAAATTACTGTAAAAAATGTAGGTATATTTTCTGTAAAAATTATTATTTTTTTTTTTTACAGTGTAGATTTAGGTGAAGCAGCATTTGTATTACACACCGCTTTTGTGTGACATAATGCTGAATAGCTGTTTGTTTCAGGTGCACTATGACACATTAATAAATTATAGTTCAATAGAAAACCTTTGTTTTGTTGTAGCTTTAATTCACTTTTCCCTCACTGCTGAGAACTCTAGGTTCAGGTCATTTCCATGCTTGGCTGACCACTTGTTATCAGATAACGGTAACTGCATGTGCAAGCAGGGCCTGCATTGGAGACTATAAGTGAAGTTTTATGAGTGCAACAGAAAGCCAGGTGAATGTCATAAACCACTGAAACAAAACTTGTTCAACAGAAAGTCTGTTTGCATTTTGACATCCAAATTGAACTGATATTGCAAAATTGCATGAAGAAGAGTCCACAGTTATTGCATAGGAAAAGATCACCTATTTAAATTGCTACTATCACATTACTAAATTCAAAGTTTCACTTGAAACCAATGAAAAGTATATTGAATTTGTTAACGTCTCTGAAGCATATCACAAATCTCATGTCTCGTATACAGTTCCACAAAACTCATAATATGGGACTAACTTTGTTGCTCAAAACATTTCTAAAATATGTTAAAAAGCATTTTACAATATGTCATAAAAGTGTTCATACAGTGTTCAGACAAAGATCCCAAGACAACTACAGTTGTCATGTGTTACATGGATAATAGTGATGGTAAGTTCGGATCATTTTACTGACTCAGATCTTTGAGTCTCGTTCAGTGGGTAGCACGTTTGCCTCACAGCGAGAAGGTTGCTGGGTCGCTGGTTCGATCCTCGGCTCAGTTGGCGTTTCTGTGTGGAGTTTGCATGTTCTCCCTGCGTTTGCGTGGGTTTCCTCCGGGTACTCCGGTTTCCCCCACAGTCCAAAGATATGCGGTACAGGTGAATTGGGTAGGCTAAATTGTCTGTAGTGTATGAGTGTGTGTGTGTGTGTGAGTGTATGTGTGGATGTTTCCCAGAGATGGGTTGCGGCTGGAAGGGTTCCGCTGCGTAAAAACTTGCTGGATAAGTTGGTGGTTCATTCCGCTGTGGCGACCCCAGATTAATAAAGGGACTAAGCCGACAAGAAAATGAATGAATGAATGTTACGAATTGCTTCCAAACACATCTACAACTAGCCCAAAGAGTTGATCACACGACAGATAAGTCATAAATAGAATATTATAAGAAGGAGGTAATGTTTACCTGCTCTTTTGTCTATGAAGGTATTGTTGTCTCTTTGCTCAGCTCACCTCTTCATGTCTTCAAATGTCAGTGGTTCGTTCACGTTACACTGACAATCACATATAATCTTAACCAATGTACACAGTCTGAGTCGATATGATAATTAGTTCACCTTTCAAGTCTTCTAATTCTTGAGTCGTTCGTTCATCACGTGACAGAATGACTCAGGCCCGATAGAGGACTCGAGAGATGAAAGGTTCAATTCTTTGTCCGGCTCTAAATGCATATGATTGGCCCGTGAGGAACGAAACTCAGACCCGATAGAGTACTCGAGAGATGAACGGATCAATTCTTTTTCCAGCTCTAAACGCATATTACTGGCTTCTGCCTTTCCACGATGAACGGCTCAAAAGAGTTGAAATGAACGATACCACCTGCACAAATGTGCACACGCGCGGATGAACGAATCACTCCCTGAGAGGACTCGTAGTTCCTGAGTCATGTTGAAGATTTGTTCAAAATGAACCAATTGTTTATGAACGACCCATCACTAATGGATAAATCATGGTTTTACTAGGTAATGTGAGAGCAATAAGCTATCTGGTATCTTTTGCCCCATGAGGCCTTCTGTGCCTTCTTCATGTCTGTCACATGATGAGACTTATTAAAAACAGCCAGCTTATGCAAAGATACCTTTCATGGTCTTTTTGAGTTAATTTAGATGTAAAATAAAGCACATTTATTTTTCATTACTACTGTTGGGTAATGTATTTTACTGATAAACTTGGCAAACAAGTAATACTCTTTGGTTGTCACACATTAAACATGGTTGAATTTCAGTAGTAAAGCTTAAATGTTTTGAACATAGTTTGCTTAATGTTTATATCTGAATAAACGCCATTAAAAATGTTCATCTCATAAAGCGATCATGTCTCTTCAGAAGACCGGCAAGCAGAAGTCTCTCAAATGTGATTAAAAATATCTTGGAACAACATGAGGGTGAGCTAATCATCACAGAGATTTCATTTATGGGATGAGCTAACCTTAATGTTCACCCCTGCTTGCTTAAAATGAGTTGAACTCTGACATTTGATTTTAACAATACTAACTTTTACACTATAAAGTTGGCACGTATATATGCCCTTGAGGAGAGTGATGGTTACGGCTAAGACTATAGGCCCTGGCTTGCCAGCCATTACCGCCAACTTGAGTTAAAATGAATCTGCTGAAACGAGACTGAAAAGCTCTTTGTCTAAGAATTCATCCTTAGGCATTTTATCCTGTGCTCATGCAACTATTTACAACTGAGCACAGAGGGCGAAGACTGGAAACTACCATAGCATATGTTAAGAATGTCTTTTATGTCATTACACACCCACATCTGTTCATAAGGCCACTTGTTCTGTGTTTTCATGTCGAGGACGGAATTTTGCATATTCATTTGAAGCATTGTAAAGGGCAGAGGGATTTCTAAAAGCACTCAGTGTTGTGTACAAAACTTGGAAATTAATGCGATTTCTGGCACAACAGTCTTTGTTACATGAGCACTGTAACAAAATGTAGTAAAAAAAAAAAGTTTCTGATGTAAATAATGCATTAAAAAAATCATGTAGATGTTAGAAGAACAAAGCTGGAAGAAGTTTTCAAGGCATGTTTGATTTATGTGTGAAGTCTGTGGTTAACATTCCTGTGAAACTTCTTGTAAATTACAGACTGAAAAAAAAGTTCAGTGTAAATTTGTCTTGTCTTGCTTTTTTTTAGCAAAAAAATATCAAAAATATTTAAAAAATTTTAATTAAAATTAAAAAAATATTAATTCTTAGATTAAAATTATTTACTTGAAAAGCATGATTACTTTTTGCCTTACAATTATGTAAGATATTAAGTCTTAATAAAATAATAATAGGATGTCACGGTGGCTCAGCGGTTAGCACAGTCGCTTCACAGGAAGAAGTTCACTGGTTCAAGCCCCATATTCGCACAGGTTTACTCCGGGTGCTCTGGCTTCCCCCACAGTTCTAAGACAGGCGCTATAGCAGAATGGGGTAAACTAAATTGATCACAGTTTATGTGTGTGAATGCGAGTGTGTATATGTGTTTCCCAGTTCTGGGTTGTGGCTGGAATAGCATCCGCTGTGTAAAACATATGCTGGATAAGTTGGCGGTTCATTCTGCTGTGGCGATCTCATGATAAACAAAGGGACTAAGCCGAAAGAAAAATAATGAAGGAATGAAAATAAAAATAATAATAATAATAATAAAAAATTTAAATATAAAATTAGTGTTTAGGGTAATAAAACAAGACAGAATAGCAAGATTTTTATACCTTAAATATAAATTTAAAAAATGTTAACATAAGACATTAGCAAGACGTTTTAGCTTGATTAATCAATTTAAAAGATATCGCACAAAAATACTCCAGTGATGAAATAAAATAATTAAAATTTTTTAAAATATATCAGACAGAAAGAAAAAAAAATACAAGACTGAATGTAAATACTGCTCTAATAATTGTATTCTGCATTAATAAATCTCATCTATTTTTTAATTTGTGTTTTTGATAACTTAAGTGGCAATATATATATATATATATATATATATATATATATATATATATATATATATATATATATATATATATATATATATATATATATATATATATATAGGCATTATTGGATATTCTATAAAATGCTTGTGTGGGGTAAGAGATTAAAGACTCTTCAGCCATCAGTTCTAGTTCATTCAACAATAAAAAGCGAGGGGTATTTCAAGGAGTAAAAAACTCTCTTTTCTTTCCACTCTTTCTTCCCACAATGGCCAGAGCGTGAAAATCGTCAGTTGTAGAGAGAAAGGAGACACATCTCGACTGGAAAGCCGCTGAATCCTTTTGGTCGTCTTCGGCGAGAGATTTCTCACTGACTTGCGCCGAAAAGTCTTCCGTAAATCATCACAAGGGTGTTATCCGGGGAAAGAAAACAACAACAACAAATGGCCAGTGAGTAATTTACTGTGATCTTGTGGTAAAATTGTGACGAGGATTTGAGGTCTACACAGCCAGTTCCGCACGGTTTAAGGATAATCAGTGTGTCAGTTTGGGCTTTCTTATGTAAAGCAGCTGTCTTTGAAGGCGGATCTTTTGGCAGGTTAGTTCAGGACGGTGGCGGAGGAGCTCAGACACAGACAGCGCGCGAGGCAGAGAGCTGCTCTTCAGGGAGAAACGGACACGAGCTAAAGTGAATACTCACACGTTTACGGAGAGGATTCGTTCATTCATTTAACATGACTGCGATGTAACGACACCGTGCCTTCCGTTTGGTCAGTTTGGATACACTTTGCGGAGGATGTGTGTGTGTGTTTAAAGTAGCGCGGGAGCTATTTGAAAAGTAAGTGTACTTTTGTGAAGAAACAGACCGTCAGCGATGTTTCACAGAACTGGAGAGATTTAAAGTACGGGTATATCATCTGTGGACTGGGAATTGAACATTAACAGCGCGAAACCTCTCAAAATAGTGAAAGTTTTTTTCATTTTTTTTCATCTGTTTGAAGATTTTTACGCACTAAATTCTCCTGTTACTCTTTTTTGGGATATAATAACTTTTTAAATTAAAACTAAAACAACAATGAAGAAACTTTTCTAGTGAAACAAAGCTTTTCGGAGAACAATATCTGCTATACATGAGTTAATATTGAAAGACAATGTTTGCTGCCGGTGTCGGACTCAGCCTTGGGCTGCTGTGCTTTGCTGGGTTTTGTTCTGCGATCAGTTCCATCGACCCGGACCGGCCAGGTGAAGGAAGATGCCAGGAGATTGCCATTCCTCTCTGTAAGGACATTGGCTACAACTTAACAGTTATGCCGAACTTAATGGGACATGAAGATCAAAATGAGGCAGCCATAAAGCTGCATGAGTTTGCTCCGCTGATTGAGTTCGGCTGTCACAGCCATCTGAAGTTTTTCTTGTGCTCACTCTACGCACCCATGTGCACAGAACAGGTATCCACACCTATCCCAGCATGCCGAGTGATGTGCGAGCAGGCAAGGCAGAAGTGTTCTCCCATCATGGAGCAGTTCAACTTTCACTGGCCTGAGTCGCTGGACTGTTCCAGACTGCCAAATAAAAACGACCCCAATTACCTCTGTATGGAAGCTCCCAACAATGGCACAGATGAGCCCCCAAAGGGCTCCCACACTCAGTCGCCAGACTCCCGACCCCCTCGGCCAGGTAACAGCCAAGAACTGCCTATTAAAGAGAGGGTCGGTAAGACCACATGCAGCAACCCTGGAAAGTTTCATTATGTGCAAAAGAGTGAGTCCTGTGCCCCCAAGTGTTACTCCAACGTAGATGTGTACTGGAGCCAGGGCGACAAACGCTTCTCCATGGTGTGGATTGCTATCTGGTCCATACTGTGCTTCATCTCTAGTGCCTTTACTGTCCTCACCTTTCTCATTGATCCCCAGCGCTTTAAGTACCCTGAGCGGCCCATCATCTTCCTTTCTATGTCCTACTGTGTCTACTCTGTGGGCTTTCTTGTAAGACTTTTTGTGGGGGTGGAAAATGTGGCCTGTGATCGTGACACTGGAGTTCAGTACATCATCCAGGAAGGCCTGGAAAGCACTGGCTGCACCATAGTCTTCCTCATTCTTTACTACTTCGGGATGGCCAGTTCCCTGTGGTGGGTCATTCTTACTCTCACATGGTTCCTCGCAGCTGGAAAAAAATGGGGTCACGAGGCCATCGAAGCCAACAGCAGCTACTTCCATCTGGCGGCATGGGCTATACCAGCCATCAAGACCATCATGATCCTGGTTATGAGGAAGGTAGCAGGAGACGAGCTCACTGGAGTCTGCTATGTAGGCAGCATGGATGTCAAAGCCTTGACTGGTTTTGTTCTTATTCCTCTCTCTTGCTACCTCATCATCGGCACTTCATTTTTACTCTCAGGGTTTGTTGCACTCTTTCACATCCGTAAGGTCATGAAGACCGAGGGAGAGAATACGGATAAGCTGGAGAAGCTGATGGTTAGGATCGGCGTGTTCTCTGTGCTCTACACAGTCCCCGCCACTTGCGTCATCGCCTGCTATTTTTACGAGCGTCTCAACATGGATTATTGGAAGATTCTAGCAGGAGAACAGAAGTGCGCCGATGACGGTAAAAGTGGGGAAGAGTGCGTGATGAAGAGCTCCATCCCTGCCGTAGAGATTTTCATGGTAAAGATTTTCATGTTGTTGGTGGTGGGCATCACCAGCGGCATGTGGATCTGGACCTCTAAAACACTGCAGTCGTGGCAGAATGTTTTCAGTCGCAAACTTAAGAAGAAGACAAGGAGGAAGGCTGCATGTGTTTTCACAGGAAGTGGACCTTACCTCAAGCCTCATCCTGCACTAAAAGGACACAAAACTAAGTACGAACCAGCAGGTCCTCCTGCAACTTGTGTATGAGCTGGGTCTCTACGCACACGCAAACAGCCAGAAATGAAAACTCTGAACTTTAACAAACTGCTTTATAAAAGGACAAGCCAGCAAAGAACTCCACAATTCTCGTATTTATTATATGCAAACTTCAGGTGCAGCATCCCCAACAAGTTTGTTCAGTTCCTAGTGTTTGTGCTGCATCTGAAACTTTGCAGACTGGAATTACAAAACAAAGTAAAAGGGAGTGAGTCCCTTGTGCTGTCATTGGGATGCCTATATCTTGTCATGTGCAATAGTTTGTTTCCCTTAGTGACAGAGAAAAAGGGACTCTGTAGAGCTGTGATTAAAGACAATGAAAGGACTCGACAAACAATGGGTGTGAATGGCTGGAGGAAAAGCAGCTCCTCTGTGGTGTAGTCGTGTGGCTTTTCTATGGAAATGAAGGCTGTGTCATACACAACTGCATTGACATTGGAGTGCAGCTGCTCAATAAGGCTTTGGCAGAGAATGAACTGCCTATTTTTAGGCCTTTAAATGGAACAAAGTGAATCTTTAAGCACTAAATATTGCCAACACAATGAGAAAAACCTTGTTATTTGAGTGGTTTTGTACAGTGAGATCATGTCCCTGGTTTGTTTTGTTACACCAAGCTCTTTTTAATGTCCATACATTTGTGTATATTTCTAAAGGTCCATATTTTATAAGAATAAATAAAACAATTTAGTTTTACATGTTTGAAGTGAGAAGCATATTATTATTTATGTTAAGTTTAAAAAGTTTTTTTTTTCCCTCATAAAGCAATCTGTCACATTTTAATATTAGAAAAGTGTTTGCTGTGGATCACTAAAGCAATATTCTTCATCAGTCATACCTTACCAAACATCCTTAAGGTAAAAATAAAAACTAAAAATCTACCTTAAAAGGATAGTTTAACTGAAAATGAACATTCTGTCATTATTTACTCACCCTTGTGTTGTTCCAAACCTGTATGACTTTCTTTCTTCTAATAACACAAAAGGAGTCCATACAATATAAATCAATGTGGTGTACAACAATAAACAAACTCCTCTTGGTATGGAACAAACTAATGCATAATAAAGAAATACCATATAGAGTTGTAACAACATGAGGGTGACAACGTTTTGGTTAAACTATTCCTTTTAAGAAAGATTGTATTGTAATGACATCTATTGATTAGAGCTAACCAACTTTCTTTGCCTGCAAATGTTTTAGAAAAGAGAAAAATCATTCATGTTTTTGAGTTAGTTAGACTTATGATTCCCACAATGGTTAGTAATAAGTAGATTACTAATATAAAAAACCTATAATGACATCAAAGATTTGAAAGAAAGGTTTAATTTAGGACCTTTTTCTGTTCATTAAATTGCCCCTGGCTTTCATATTCCTTATCTTATTAAAATTAATCTATTCACTTCCATGTTTCATTGATAAACAATACTGAAGCAAAGGCTTTAAAGTTTGTTTTGTTTTGGTCTCCAGGTTTGGCTTTTTTATCTCGGTTTTATTTGTACTATCAAATTGGGTCATTTTTGAAGTGTTGGCTTTGATTTAACAGTGCCTTTTTTCACAGTGCACAGTAGATCGCTCAAAAAAATGTAACTAGCATTCACATATGAGTCTTTCTATGCTTACCTTTTTTTAAAATGCAAAACCTTACACTACTTATCTATCTATCTATCTATCTATCTATCTATCTATCTATCTATCTATCTATCTATCTATCTATCTATCTATCTATCTATCTATCTATCTATCTATCTGTCTGTCTGTCTGTCTGTCTGTCTGTCTGTCTGTCTGTCTGTCTGTCTGTCTGTCTGTCTGTCTGTCTATCTATCTATCTATCTATCTATCTATCTATCTATCTACTGTCCTACCATCCATCCATCTGATGGAAATCTACACCAATCTATTTTACTCAATTTTAAGGTTTTAATACCTTAATATTGACTTGACCTGATAAACCCAAGTTCACGATACACATACAATGAACGTTAAAGTTGTTTGGCTTGCAAATATATAGATCTTTTTAACATTACGCCCTTTTGTAGTCTAATCACATCTGTCATTAGCTTAAATCTATAGAGAACTTTTGTGTAGACAGGTGGGGCTGACCTTCTGGCACTGCACAGTTAGATGAAAGTATAACACGCAATAAAAAAGGGAAGTACGTCTTTCTTATAACGTGCCCAATCATGCCCTATAAGCTGGTTTTCCTGATGTGTTTTTGATTTGGTTTGATGCCTGACAAAATTAGAAGTATCTTCAATAGAATCAAACGCGTGGTTATTAAATGATCACATTATTGAGTTTGTGAAAAAGCAGTTTGTTTCCTCTAGCAATGCACACACCCAGATTTATCATCAGGTGTCTTTTGATCTGTCTTCATTCTTAATGCGCCTGTAAATAAATCCACGCTGAGGATTTCAATTGGTTTTTTAAGATCAACTTTATGTTGACTTTGATCTTAACGTTCATACAGGAAACGCACAAATAGAAACTTAAGCACGAGATGTTTTGCTAGCCTTTTCAAATAATTACTGTAAACCAAACTCATTCATTCTACCTTCTTCAAAGACAACATATATAACTGGATCAAAGTATGTCTGTAGTTTTTTTTTACCCCCACAAATTATTAAAGCTCGCTAAAGCCTAACACAACAATACAGTAAGTGGGTAATATAGCAAAGATTGATTATTACAATTTCAGTCATTAAAAGATTATAGTATGTTTGGACAATTTCTCTACCCTTTAAAAGCTTACTTTAGGTGTCAAGTGCAGCGTGTGTGAGAAAGTGTGTGTGTGAAAAAAGATCTAAAACAGGTCTGATCTGATGAGAAGGCTTGAGTGAAGTGTGTGTTCTGTACTTTGCCCAGGGGGTATTCAAGTCTCTACAAAGTCCTTGTAGTGTTTCAAAATTCAGGCACATGAATCAGAGAGGCCTCGTTTGACACACACACTCACACATGCACACATACACTTGTGTACACACCAAGCTGTTTAAGGGCCACCTGGACTCGGGGCCCTGGGGTGTGTGAGTCGAACTGTAAATATCAATGACAGTTACCACTCCTCCTTCTCTAAAGACTATCTCACTTTTTCCTTTTCCCTTTTTTTCTTCTTCTCTTCTTGCTTTTTTCTGTAGTTGTGACTTAAAGGTGGGTTCACCATGTGAAGATGGAGTGTGTGTTTGAAGTTGGGTAAGAGCTGAAGTGTAAAGGACAGCAGTCCGTTTCATTTTAATGCCACATCCAGTGCTCTGCACATCTGAAAGGGCTGCTTCTTAGTGTCCTGACAGCTTTATCTAAGTGTTTGCTCGCTCAGTTCGGTTTGCAAACATTCATTATTTAGTTTAGATTTAGGTAGTCAGTTTCAGGTAAGTTTCTTCTACACATTAATTGGTGACCCGGTTACAAGTGGTCAGTCAATGCGTCACTGTTAACACCTGATATTACAACACAATCTCACGGCAATTCGTAACTTTTTGATTTCGTAACTAATGAATTTGTACAATGTCATTCATAAATTTTAGTAAGATTTGCTTATCCCCCAGTGACGGTTGGGCTTCGGGGTGGAGTTGGAGGCCATGCCTCCTTTTTAAAATCACACATTTTCATACTACTGAACTCATACGAATTAGCCACTAAACTGACAAAACATAAAATACTTATGTTTCCTCGTGAGATCAGGCTGGATATTCACACTTAATACTTTTTATTAGCATTAAGGTTCCATGAATAACCATTAACATCAATGGTATCTTTTCATTCCATAGAAATATGGAATTGTAAAGCTGTAAAAATCTGTAACTTGAAACAGTAAGTTTTCTTAATATATAATAGGAGTGAGAACCTACACTGGTCTCACAGTGGGGTTCGCTTGAGAGTATCATGCCATCGATTCTGTTCAGTTTCATATCATGGTACATTGATGATGCTTCACATAAACAATTTAAAATTTTTTAGAAACACAATAATTCTTGTATTAAATTTATATATATATATATATATATATATATATATATATATATAATTTACAATTTTTTCCATTAATACAAGCTAACAGATATACAGTATGTACTGTACCTTTAACTTTACCTGCTGAAAGAAAACATTCTTTTTGAATGTATCAAACTAATCCAAAGTACATGCACAGAACAACATGAGCATTTATAGCAAATAAACGTAACACACATATTACTCCACTTGCTTTTTGAGAGTTGTTGAGCGAGTTCTTAAACACCTGTGATTGATCATGTGCTCAACAGAAAATGCTGCGTTTGGCTCTAATGGTCAGCACAGCACTCTCGCGCTGTTCAGCTAACAGTGACATGGGCACTCATGTTAAACGGCATCTTAGATCAGCTGATCCATTCTAGACGGCGATGTGGTGGAGAAAACTGGCTCTGCAAACATGCTCGTGTCTGGATCCACAAGTAACGTTATTGTTGTAACAGTAGAGAGAAGAGATAAAACATTCCCTCATACACGCCAGCAGGTCAAAGTGGCCACAGAAAGTGAGAAAGAGCTAAGCTTGAATGTACTTCCCTGTGTGAAAGACTGTCTAGCACATTCACAAATAGTGAATTGTGCACAGTTATTTGCTTTTTAGGTAGTTGTCGCATATAAATTACTTGTGATCTCCTCCCTTAGTAAGACATAGTAAGGGATCGCCATATAATGCATATGTGATAAATTATGTCAGTAGTAATAACCGGTTATGATCATTACTGACTGTATGTGTGTGAATGAGAGTGTATGGGTTTCCCAGTGATAGGAAGGGCATCCGCTGCGTAAAACATATGCTGGGTAAGTTAGCGGTTCATTCTGCTGTAGCGATCCCAGATTAAAAAAAGGGACTAATTACTTTAAAGGGACTAATGACTTTAAAGCCTGATCTCATGAGGAAAGGTAACTATTGTACTTATTGCCAGTTTAGTGGCTAATTCATATAATTCATATGATTTCAGTGGAACAAAAAGGTTTTAACAGGAGGCGTGACACCAAACCACACCCCTAAACCCAACCGTCATTGGGGGATGAGCAAAGCGTTTTAAAATGTACATATGAGATGAAATATCATACAAATTTAGCCACCAAATCAAACGTTATAAATTGGCATGAGATAGCATTAGACATTCCCAGAATTCCCTCCATGACACTTTTGCTTTTTTGTTGACATTTCTGTATTTCTTTTCTGATCTAATTCTATTAAATCTTTTTAGGTTATTAAAATGTTTTTCTCAGAAAGAACTATCCCTTTAATGGGAAGATCAGTAAAATAGCAGGGCTGTAATCATCATAATACCATAGGTGGACAGGTAATTATAAACACCAGTAATTATAAAGACTTTTGTTAGTTGTTAGGACGATAAAAAGGTTTGACTGTTAAACTTAGGCTGGTCTGCTTCAGCCTTTTAACTGCACTTGTCAATGTTTAAAATTATGGCCATCCAAATTAAAGTAGGCGGGGCTTGCACTTGACAGAAGGAGCATACATTTCAGCACAAAGTGTCAGTTTAATACTGGAGGTGAGCGAGGTAAGAATGAAGTATAGCAAAAACACGACAAGAATGTTAAAACATTAATTTGCAGTGACAATCTTTTGTTTTTTTGTTTGTTTAAAATTAAGTATAGTTATGTATTTTATATAATCCTTATATAAATATGTGCATATTTGAAAATAATCACTCTGGTTTTTTGTATACTTT